GTAATTAAAATAAGAAAGTCAACTTTTAGTATGTACTCTATCATATGATCACACAACCTTATGCTTGATATGAGTGCAAAATTGAGTATTGGTAGCACTTGTCCAGACGTGTCGTGTCCATTGTTTTATTTTTAATTTGCTTCGGGCGCTGATCTGTACTAATCCTCTGAGGTACATTGAAGGGTGAGAGGGAGGGAGGCGAGCTTGCAGGATACGGGGCTATCTAGGTTCACTGAGGTAGAGGGGGCTGTGTTTATGGTAAATGGGAATACCGTTCTCCAGACTGAGGGACTGACCACCTCAAAACTTTAAGGGTGATGGACTGATTACATCGTCTTCAAGTCTCTTCTGCTTCTATCAACTTTGCTGTACTTGACTGAAGAAGCCTACTGTGTAGGCGAAACGTTTCGAAATAAAGATACCTAACTGTTGCATATGTGTCTTACCTAAACATATACCGAGGTTGTTGTTGTCGAGTCATAGCTCATGTGTGTGTGTACTCACCTGTATGTGGTTGCAGAGGTCGAGTGTGTGTGTATTTCAGTGTATGTAGACAGTACATTTTAAACCCTGTTTTAGTAATTACAGTATTCTTGAGTGCTGGTGGTGATGACCCTCTTGTAGGTAGGCTTTAAAATTGTTAGTCAATGGAAATGTACTGGTGGATCTGTGCGCGCGCACCCTTTACCCAAGTTCTGAATTATGCTTGAAGGTTAATGTTAAGTTTTGAGACTGGTTTGTTAGAGTGGATGCTGGTCTTGTGCAGTTATACTGCATCGCTCTCAACTTTCTTACTCCATCACCTGTGACCCCCGCCCCTCCCTCCCTCCATCACTTATCCCCCACACGTCCATCCTCCCACATATTCAATAACCCTCAGACGTCACGTCCTCCACGTCTCACTCTTCAGAAGTAACTTCACAATAAGTTTTTTTAATCTTAACGTTTTTATGACCTGAAACTGGTTTCAGTACCAAGACTTCATATTTTTTTTTACGAAAGTTTCATTTTGTCCAAAATGAAGCTTGGTTCTTTAATCTGTCCTCATCGCCAGTTTGTGATCACTTTTTATCTATTGTCAAATTAGTTGCTGTTGTTTTCCCGTGTGTGGTCAGTTCATTTTGTCCGGGTTCTACGAGCCGTCACAAGTAGTTATCCCTGAAGGGTCACCTTCAGGGATAACCCTTCCAGTGAGGTCCTACTTCGGAGCAAAATCTATTTCCCCGCGAAATAATTTCTGAAAGGTTTCAGTCTGTAATGGCTGATGCAGCTGGTGAGTTTTCCATCGGTTTTGGGTTTAATTTCATAAATTTATGAGACAAATTGGTTTCCATTCAATGATTGGAGAATGTCTCTTCTAAACGCTTACATATCTAACTTAGAAGGATTTGGATTTATTTTGGGCTGTGTTTGTGCTTATTTTATTGAGTTTGGCAATGGAAAATTCTGTGATGATGTATTTTGGAATAACTAGAGAATGACTTCTGATTTTTTTGGTCGCTTTTCACCAGTGTTTCTAGATTATTTTTTTTTTCTGATCAGACATGTCCCCTCGCTGGTGAGCGGGCTCTTGAATTTAACCTGTGCTCCTGTTCCCTGAACTGAGCCTGAATACGTTCCCCCCACATGCGCTGTATAATCGTATGGGTTTAGCGCTCTCCCATGATTATAATTATACTCTGATCAGACATGTATGCTTACGCGCGTGCATGAGCAGGCACAATGACATCGGAAAGTGAGAGATTCCTCTAAAAAGTCGGTTTATTACAACAAAGCCTATTGTAACATGTACACTAACTGTCTCTTATACTTTAACCCTTAATGTGGGGACTACAGCCAAATTTCAACGTATATACACTTGACACACACCATCAACTGTGGAGATAGACACGTAGGGTAACACTGGATATTTTATTAAGAGACTTTTCATCCAATAAGGCTTTATTGTATTTATATAGCTCTTCCCTCTAGTCTTCATATAAAAATGGCCTAAATTTTATATTACCACAGTTGGTCGGTATTGATATATCAAGGCAGGCAACACAACATTAATACAGTAAAATTATTGTCCTTGGATTATAGGATTGTGGATTACTTAAGTATAACGGAGCTTCAGAGTAGTCGTTTTTATGTAATTTAATTTGTATATTTGTTTTCTTTTGGATGTTTTTTGTTTTCATTATAGGGATAATTATATGTAAAATATTTGAGTTAGTACACAAGTTAGGCTAGGGGCGGGGGACAAAGAAAACGGAGAGCAGGTTATACTAGTATATAATACAAAGGATAAGAGGTGTGTTGGGTATCTTGTACAGTGAAGTAAGTCATTATGCGTACACAATGTGAAGTGTTTTCAGATGGGATTTTGATTAGATGTGAAGAAATAGTTTCGTGGAATGAGGAATAAATGCAGATGCAATGGTGAGTTGTCAGTAATGTTAAATTATTAGGTAATGTTTAAAAAATATTTATTAATGATAAGCTTTTTTCCATGGTATAGATATCGAGGAACGATGTGCGTCTCCGACCTCAGCGCCGTCAGACACAGAGATGGAGTCCCTGACATATCCTCCCAACACAAACACTTACACGGGTACCTATACGGGTACTCACACGGGTTCCCACACGGGTACTCACACGGGTACCCACTCGGGTACCCACTCTACATTCCGTTCCCTGCGTCAGCTGACCCGCGAGGCCCTGCCCAGGCTGGACCACTACCGCAACTTGGCAAGCATCATGCATGCCCCGGGCGCCGGGCAGAGACCCACCCTGGACGACCTCCACCAGCCGCCGCCCGGCAAGGTAAGGTTACCTTAGTGTATCTTTTCCTAATTTCCTGATCTGTCATCCAAGTTCCTGCTATCTCTGAACTGGATTCATGCATTTTAATTTGTGTTAAACTTGCTTATTCAATGAAAGGCTTATCTGTAGAGTAGGTTATTTCCTCTCTTGCTTCTCTCAAATTGACGACTTGTTAACTCACAGGGTTCAGGTTCTTGGGACTGGCAAGACTCTAAATCAGGTGCACCTCCTGGACTGGAGCTGCAGGCAGGGTGCTGTATATACACAAGTTTTTCTGTATATATATATATATACAGAGAACTTACTTTACCTTATTTCTTAATGTATAGGTGAATAGCTTGGGATCCGGGTACGGTTCTTGAGCGTTAGGCATGTGGTTTTTACACTAGTATATGGATACCCAGGTGTTAGTTGGCTGTTGCGGGTGGAAGTGTACCTTTGATAGGGCTAGGCTTTGAAATGTGATGAAGTATGGCAATTGCTCGTACCCTGTCAGTTGATCTGTTTAAATAAGCACTTTACTCAGCATGTCCTCCGTCTCGTCCTTGCACTTAATACACTGGACAAACTCTCATATATTTACTTGCGTCATGGCCTGTTTTGTACATTTAAACTATTTAGTCGTTACCAGTACATCAAAATTGACGGCTTTGTGTGCTTTACCAACTTTCACAAGACGCGAGGGAGGCTTCGATCTTATGACATCACAATCTTAACCTCAACAACCACTGTTTTACCTTCATTTCTACCACAGAGTAAACACTGACCTCATTTTCTCAAAGCCTTGTACATCTCGTGTCTTCCGCACTACTATGCCTATAATGGCGTCCTTTACCACCATTCTCCCTTCAAAGGAGGGATTGTACTTACCTTTGTCATTCCTCTTTCCTTACTAACAGCAGTTAGTCGGGTTGAAGAGTAGTGTTTATCATGCATATAAGCGATTTTGTCGCCATTGAACATCCCCTTCCACTCCCCCCCCTTTTTTAGTGTACTTCAGCAGAGCGCAACTGCCCCACTTTCTACAATAGTGAAGACCACGCTTCGAACTCTGTTGTTGATTCCTTGCGTATTTCTCTACGTGGGTTTCGTATGTCAGGTAATGAATTGTCAGCCTGAGTTGGAAGATTCCACTAGCTACATCGCAGCCTCCATGTTAGATAAGGGGATGGGGGACCGCGATGCTTGTGAGGGGCTCGTGTTTCGAGAAATTCAGCAATAGGTAAAGGCGTTAGAAACTTGAAATTCGAACAGAGAAAGATCCACATATCACACTGCATAAAACACAAAAAATCACATTTTCATTCTAATGTCAGCGTCATGTATACGACGGTCTTCAGCCAAAATGAAAAAGCGATGTTGCTTAAGGGGATTACCCGAAACATGATAGCCTTACCTGACCTCCGGGGTGGTTGTTATTGCAGGAGGGAAAGTTGTGAGGGAGGGATGGGGTTGGAGGAGGATGGAAAGTTGAAAGAGGGAGAAGTGCTTGATCTTTTTGAGGGTTTTGGAGGGAAATGAGGTGTTTGACCTTGCTTTGATTGAAAGTTGAGAGGGGTGAAGGGATGTGTACAAAAACAGCCAGTAAATATTTCCTCCTATGTTTTATGTAGGTTGCGGGGGAGCGGTGCAGGATGTGAAATTTGGTTTAATTTAACAAAATTAGGCTCCTCCGCACTGTACAGCTGCCCTATTCTGTATGGGTTATAGATGGGTATATCCGCAGTGTGCAACTACCATATTCTACGTAGATTACTGTGTGAGTACATCTAGTGATGGTCGTAACGTTTTTGTCGCCCTATATGAAATCGTGCGAAGGTTCCCATACCTCTCTGTCATCACCCCATCAACCTTCCTTGATGCATAACTTATGCCGCAATAAAACACTGAACACATACCGACAAGTTGATGAGTGTCTGAACACAGCCTTTAAAATTTAAATCACTTCGTGTATATATTATATATATATATATATATATATATATATATATATATATATATATATATATATATATATATATATTATATATATATATTATATATATATATTATATTATATATATATATATATATATATATATATATATATATATATAATATATATATATATATATATATTGTTGTGGGTTGTGCAACCCACAGCAGTCAGCTAATGCTAGCTGGGCAGGAGGCAGCAGGTGTGTAAAGGAACTAAGCCTGTGTACTTAAATATTTCTCCTGGACCCAGTGGCTGTAAGTCGAATGCTCTGACCAGTGAGCTAGGTACTCCACACCCTGGGAGAAGGGGAATGAGGGTTAGGTATAGAAGGAAGTTAAACGTGATTGAGGGTAAGACAGGTGATTAGCAAGGAAGAAAGATTGGACCTGGTGGGAGGAGACATGGGATTTGCATGGTAACATAATGAAGAATATAAAGATCAGATTTATAATAGGGATAATGCATATAGCGTGATCAGAGCCTAGCCTGTTGATCACTAGCACACGAGACAGGTCTTGCCTCTGGTCCAGGTTGCTGGAGCTTTCATCAGTGGTCTACTAGTCTAGCTCAGAGTGCTTAAGGAAGTTAAACGTGATTGAGGGTAAGACAGGTGATTAGCAAGGAAGAAAGATTGGACCTGGTGGGAGGAGACATGGGATTTGCATGGTAACATAATGAAGAATATAAAGATCAGATTTATAATAGGGATAATGCATATAGCGTGATCAGAGCCTAGCCTGTTGATCACTAGCACACGAGACAGGTCTTGCCTCTGGTCCAGGTTGCTGGAGCTTTCATCAGTGGTCTACTAGTCTAGCTCAGAGTGCTTAAGGTGTTCCAAACTCACAGGGTGTCCAAGTTGCCGCAATATGGTTCTTGTGATATTAGGGGTGTCCAGCAGAACATGCAAAACAAACCATTTGTTTGTGGTGCTTTTTATTTACAATGACAGTGTAAAGTTTCAGGGTTACACTTTTCCCATTACGACTATTAATAGCGTGTCGGTGTGAGCTGCCAGGGTTGTTATGTGTAACCAGGTGATTTATGGTGGTTTGTTTTGTGAGTGACGCGTCTGGGAGACTTCCCTACTTGCTCTTATTAACATGCATAGTTGTACTCTCCTACTTTGGTTACAGAAGGGGAGGATAGGGTTGATTCATGGCTCCTGAACTGGCCTGGTTTCTCGAACGCTATCATACCTGTACTTGAAACAATACACTGAATTCGCTTCCGCCACTTCCTCATCTAGATCATTGCATATTCCAACCACATCGACACCAAAGAATTTCTTGACGTCTGTGTAGCACACACTTATCCTTGATCCCGGTCCTCTCCTTTCATATAGTCTGTCCACATTAAATCTAGATAAAGTAACAAACACATCGACGCTGACTTGTCTTACAAACGTGATGCAGTGGCCTCGACCTTCACTGTAGTATGACGTTAAACTACACTGGCAGTTTTGTGCAACAGGAAGTAAGTGAACATATTTGCTGTAGGGAAGTGGTCACAGAGGAGCCTCGCTCCTAACGATGAGTAAACTTTAGTGAATAAAAGTGGACGTGAATATTTTTTTCTTTAAAGGGGTACTGTAATAAATGTTTATGGCTCGACTGCCCTGTTTACTTGGTCTCTGTCCCAGATTCTCCAATTTCCAATTTGAGTGTTCCTCTCGGTGAGAGGCTGTCATTACTTGCCCCATCTTAGGCATCATAATCATTTGTCCACTGATTCTTTTGTCTTTCAAATGTGTGAAATGTGTGCGTGATTTTATGTAATCACGAAGAAAATTTATATATAATCATGAACAACTAAAAAGATTTAAAAGAAATCAAACATAACACCTTTGAAAGAAAGGTGAAAAGGATAAATTGTGTAATGTGGCTGCAAACCTCTGCACTTTTTAGATAGAATGAAGAGAGGATACTAGGAAATATTTTTACTTCAGACAGCTGGACAGGTAACCAAGAACGTGCCGTGTAACTCTACTGGAAACTTTGTTTTAATGTATTTATTTTAGAAAAGCGGTCAATGGTTCATTAATATATTTAAACACTTAAATAGTTGTGACCTTGACCCAAGGTTACATTGTGTCGTGTTAGAGCACTTGATTCTCCTAGCTGCTGGCATGTCCAGCAAACTTTGAAGTGACATGTGCTTAGCTCTTAATCAGGAACTGCAGGCTCTCTCTCTCTCTCTCTCTCTCTCTCTCTCTCTCTCTCTCTCTCTCTCTCTCTCTCTCTCTCTCTCTCTCTCTCTCTCTCTCTCTCTCTCTCTCTCTCTCTCTCTCCCTCTCTCTCTCCCTCCCTCTCTCCCTCTCTCCCTCTCTCTCTCTCGTTGATAGTAACTCCAGATATTAAAAGTGTGGTGTTGATTCGAGGAGGTGTGAGATAAGAGAGGTAGTGGGTGGGGCAGACATCGGCGTGGACGCCGCGCTCAACGATCGATACCTTCCCCAGGATGAAAGCTATTTGTAGGTGGCATATCCTCCCCGTCCCTCTCCTCCCTCTGGTAGGGTGGAAGGTCAAGGGTGGGCTGCAAGATGGATGAGGGTGTGGCTCACTGGATAGGAGGTTGGATGAAGATATGGCTTAGTGGATGGGGGGGGGGGTTCGGTGAACAAGACTGACTCAATGTATTTAGATTTAAATTCTGGGCTCAAGTGTGGCTCAGTAGGTGAATGCGGTAAGCGCTAAGCTGGTAGGGGTCACACATCGTCTGAAGAATTGAAGGCCATACCCAGGGTATGAGAAAATAACTATAATTTCTTGTATTAGGAACCTTTCATCGGTGACTCAAGAAATCGTAATGACACGATTGCAAACAAACCATACCCCATTGAAGGAGGAAAAATTAGTACTCTTGCATAAGGCCCGAGGTGCCCTTGGAACACCAAAGATGGAGCTCGCACAAGACAAGTCTAGAAACACAAGTGAAGCCCACCGGTAATGAAGGTCCTCAAGAACGGCAGACTGTACAGGTGTAATTTATGTGAACTTTTAGTTTAATTGTATTATAGGTA